TGATCATATTAATCTTAAAAACGTTCATTTAGAGCCACTTCAAGCCACCGAGTTTAGCTGTTGCAACAAAAATTCAGCCCGTAATATTCAGTTTTGTCTCTTCGTTCAAAGTTAAGAATTTATTTTTTAAATTCTTGTAAACAATAAATACTTCTGAGCGAAGTGATATGATGGATAGTTTCTTAGATTAGATTTTTGAGCACCATCACAATGAAAACTAAATGGGTTTAAATAGCCTTGCCATATCTAACTTTCAACCCTTTTAAGCCTTTGTTACAGTATCCCTAGTCAGCGAGGGCCCAGACCGATAAATTCATTGCGGTCGCAACCTTTAAACTAAAGTTAAACTGTCCTCATCATAGCTAAATGAACTCAGACTTCTCATAGTTGGTATGCTTATCTAGGTTTCCTTGGGCTACTCGGCTTGCATACTTAGTCGGCCTATCTTTTGGCCTATTATTGTATCTTATTAGACTTATTCTTACATATCATTTATGTATCGCTTTGTTCAATAGAGTCTTGAATATTAAATCTCCATATATACGCTATACGTTTCGGAATTCCAACCAGGAATCAATCTCATCATCCAAACCTTATTATTTCCCCTATATCTGTTTTGCCTTCTATTTCACTTATTTTCGCTCATATAGTATGAAGCTTTCTTCCAATGAACCCTAGTCCTTTTTTTCCAATCTTAATCTGTTTAACCATCTTAGAGAACATGGCGTACAGACAATACTTCTCACTGTAATAATACTCATTCTTAGGGAGTATTATGATGAGGTGTATTTAGGCGCCGACCTAAGAGCTTTATTCAATCTAGATGGCATAGGTGTAATTTTCTAACAATTTTATTAGTAGACCTACAATGTCATTGAATTTAACTTAGCCTTGATTCCAACAAAGTATTCTTATATAGTGTAGACTTTATCTTAGATCGCCCCGGAATCAAACCTGGTTAGTACAACGAATATTTGCGGCCTACTATAACTAATATGAGATGTATTCACTATTTCGTTTAAGATGATGAAGGACTGGTAGTAGAATTTTCCCACAATGATATGAGTAGGGCTGACGCTTCCATTTAACTTTACATAGCCTTGCCTTCCCAAAAGTTTTTTATTCAGGGTGGACTGCAGCTTCGACTTTGCCTAGGCCTTATCAACAGCCCCAGTGAGAATCGAACCGTGACAATGTAGCATGTGAGCTTGATACGTTAACCACTCAGCTACAGCGATACGAGTGTCCTTATGTCACTAAATGGTTAACGTATGGAATTCAATTAAAATGTCATATCATTGTGGGAAAATTTTACTACCAGTCCTTCATCACCTTAAACTAAATAGGCTGATTATATCTCATATGATTGATTTACCGGTAGTCTCGAAAATTCACTTATATGCGAAAAATGCTATAACTAAGCCACAATACTACTGGTTTCAATGGGTAGCCGCGAATTTCGAGGCAGGCCAAATTTTTACCAACGCTTATCTAATGGGATATTTAGCTCTTATGACTAATATGCTTATCTCCCATAGATTATTTAAGTCTTATAAATTTCTTCATTTTCACATGTTTATTTGACTATAATCTAGATTATATTTTCTTGTTTGTTACTCTCCGATGTGTTAAGTAAAACTTATATGAAGCCCAAATAATATGTCCTTATTTTCTTCTTCAGGTCTTCACGAGACAGCTAGCTGCCTAGAGCGAGAGGCTAAACTTAAGCTACAGCAGCCTGCGCCCTTACCGCTACCAATTTATGATGAGTCACATCGGGTTCTTGAAGAAACACCACCGCATCTGCATTCTTGTTGCACCCCTTCTGCCTCTTCTGTCAGCTCTGCTAGCACAATTGCTGCTACTGTTCTTAGCTCTGGTAACAGTAATGATAATGTTTATGTCAACAACAGCCTTTGTAATGCATCGGAGAATGTTTCTACTGTATCGGGACCTCTAAGTGAAATCGCTATTGTTAATCTGGCTACACCGAATCTTAGATTTACTAAGTCTCGAGCAACTCATCACTCGGCTGTTATCCAGACGCCCAAGGTATATCATTCCCCACATACACCAACCTCCATTTAAAAGATCATTCTTATATTTTTTGCCGAAGGTAATCTTTTCGTCATACTTTATTAGTACCTTTAAAGGAAATTCTTTGATAAAAATTTATTTACAATAAATTAGTAGTTTTCCATGTATGGATCCTATATAATCTACACTTGCTGACTTAGTCACAATTACTCTTGCTCAATGATCATACACAGTGCTAAAAAATGGCATCAATTTGCTGTAATAATTCTATAAGCCTCCCTTTTTACTCTATTTGAATTAGCCAGAACTCCCAGCATAAATCAAGGCTTCTACTTTCATTAATTTAACTTTTATTTCATTAGACACATGTTTTCTCTTGTGAATAACTTATGCTATCCATGTATCTAAATTATCATATTTGATTTTCTCATTTCGAGTTTACCTCCAACAATTAAGCATAATACTACGGATCACTTTTCTTTATCATTCGATATTAAAGCTTTTAAGATGTGCAAATAGGTTTCCTTGTGTTAATTGCAATATGATTACATAGAATAAAATCCTTATTGATTCATTTTCCTCCTCCCACAATGAATTTTTATTATTTAGCCAATTTGTTGGATATTCCATTGTTTGATTTC